CCTCAGAAAATAAAACCCATTACACTCGTCTCAGTTTAACACATGTCTGAAAATAAAACACATTACACTCGGCTCAGTTTAACCCATGTCCCCCCCCCCCCCCCTCACGACTCTCTTTCAGAACACGCTGATGAGGTCCAACAACAGCCCTTACAACCTGTCAACTTCCATCTCCGGCTACAGCACGTTTAACGGCACAATGTCCCCAGGCTCCATGCACAGCCTGTCGTTTGAAGGCATCATGGAGTCGTCTCTGGCCAACTCGCCCAACGTTCCCTCAAAGGATGCCTTCCAATACTTGTACAGACCGAGGAACTTTGCTGAAAAGGCGCGAATTAATTGCGCGTAAGTTTCATTTTAAACGTGTTAGTTGTGTCATTGCTATAGAATTTGTTAAACCAAGTTGTATCATTGCTATAGAATTTGTTAAACCTAGTTGTATCATTGCTATAGAATTGGTTAAACCTAGTTGTATAATTTCTATAGAATTTGTTAAACCTAGTTGTATCATTGCTATAGAATTTGTTAAACCTAGTTGTATCATTGCTATAGAATTTGTTAAACCTAGTTATATCATTGATATAGAATTTGTTAAACCTAGTTATATCATTGCTATAGAATTTGTTAAACCTAGTCATATCATTGCTATAGAATTTGTTAAACCTAATTATATCATTGCTATAGAATTTGTTAAACCTACACAATTTTGGGGAATAAGATGGCCCAGACTTTCCATCACTCTTATGATAATGTAAGTTCTTAAAGTAAGAGTCATTCTGTGTGCCCGGAGAGTGTGACCAATGGCTCTAAAATTCTTGTTACAGATGGTTAGATTCCTCAACGTCGCTCATGGAACAGGGCATCAGAGAAAACGATTTCATTATGCTCAAGTTTAAATTCTACAACTACTACGACCTCAACCCTAAGGTAAGTGAAATCCTGCTAACATTGGGGTCCATTGTACTGGTACTAGCATTGGGGACCATTGTACTGGTACTAGCATTGGGGTCCATTGTACTGGTACTATCATTGGGGTCCATGATCAATTATGTCGGGTGTTTGTGAAGGGGGGGGGTGGCTAACTTTTGTGGGTTGTGAGTAGCTGGGAGTCAGGGCTGACTGTGTGTAGCTGGGAGTTACGTGTTGCTTGGTTTGTGAGTAGCTGGGGTTTGTGTGTATCTAGGGATTGTGTGTATCTGGGGTTGGTGTAGCTCGGGGTCAAGTGTAGCTGGGGGTTGTGTGTATCTGGGGTTGGTGTTGCTAGGGGTCGTGTGTAGCTGGGGGTTTTGTGTATCTTTGGTTGGTGTTGCTAGGGGTCGTGTGTCGCTGGGGGTGGTGTGTATCGGGGGGTGGTGTTGCGAGGGGGCGTGGCTAGCTGGGGGT